TTTATTATTAAATTCTTTATATATGTTAGAATATTATTACAATATTTTATTATAGAAATAATAATAACTATAAATTAAACTGAATAAAAATATAGATAATATATTGAGTAAATATTTGTTGTCTTCTTTTAAATTAGATATATTAGACAATAAAATAGAGAGGACAGAAGTTTCTAAGTTAAAAGAATCATTAATAGAATTTTGATAAGAAGTTTTGATAGAAATTTTCAAAATAAAATTGATATTATAAGTTGTAATATATTTAATTTTATTTATATTTAAATTTTTAAATAATTTATATATTTTTACAACTTTTTGAATTTTTTTTTGTAAATATAATGTTTATATAAAATCCAGGAAATTATAAATCTGTGTTTTTAAATCTTTTATAAAAAAAAATGTTCTAATATTTTATTATAGATTATTTCCTTTGTTTTTTTTCATTAAATTTTTTTTTTCTATTTTGTATAATTATTTTAATATGAATTAAGAATTTATCTTTATAATAATATTAATAGAAAATTTTTTCTTGATTAAAAAAAAATTATATTATATTCAATATTAGTTGTTTTATTAAATAATCAAGTTAAATAAAGCAATTAAACTATAGATAAGCCTTGGTAAAGAGGTCTAGTTGAAATTTTATTACAAGAAATAGCTCTGACTTCAGATTGAATATTATCTTGAATATCCTATTTGTTTTTAACTATATGATTTTCTGCATTTTTCTTTCTATAACTATTTGATAAGAAACCTTCAGTTGAAATTTTTATTATGTAATTTATAAATTATTAAATAATAAAATTAATAATATCTTTAGATTTCAAAGTTTTTGTTTTTTAATATTCTGAATTATCTTATTACTAAGCTTTTTTTATACAATATAATATAAAAAATTTTGAAGTTTTTATTTATTTATTATTCAAAAATTACTATATAAAAATTATAAAAAATATATTAACAAAAGTCAAAAATCTAAAGATTTTATTAATATATAATTAATAATTAATTCTTTTATTATTATTTTCAATTATTAATTTATATTTTTTTTTATTGAATCTATAAATTTATTTAAATACTTATTTGAAATTTTATTCTATTCTTCTATTATAAATTGTTCTAATTTTAAAATATTTTTTTGATAGTTTCATTTCTATATTTTTTTTAATAATAATTTAAAAGTTTTCAATAGGATTTAAATCTAAACTATTAGAAGATCAATCAATAATTTCAAAAAAAAATTTTATTTAAAAATATTTTAATAATTTTATTTTTATACTTGGAATTATAAAAGCATCAATTGTTTTCAAGTAATCTATTAATTTCTTATTTATAATTTATAAAATATTAATATAAAGTTTTGTATCCATAATTTTTTTAAAACAAAAAAAAAAGTTTTTTTTTTGTATAAAATCCTTACCATGTAAAGATTTTAGTACTATTTTAAATATTCTTTTAATTAATCTTGCACCTTTATATTATTAAATAATTATATTTTTGAAATTTTGAAATACTATTTCATTAAAAAATATTGTTTTTTTTAGTTATTATTAAGATATTTTTTTGTTCAAATAATATAAGTTTTTTTTGTAACACAAATTGACTAATGTCTTAAAATTGTTAAATATAATGCTTTGGTATTAATATTTGATAATTTAATTATCAAAGTTCTTGAGAAAAGTTTTGAATTATGATATAAATGATAACCAATTGCTTTTTATTCATATGCAATAATCTTTTTAGAATGATTATTATCTGATTTTCTTAAATTATTACCTTTTGAATTTAATTTTTTGAGATTTTAATAAATAGATAACATGTTTATATTAATTTGAAAATATATTTCATATACAAAAGTATTTCATTATTTTACAAATATAATATAATTTGTTGTTAAATATTTTTTTAAAAGATAACATTATAAGGATAAATTTGTAACAAAAATAAAATTATCAAATAATTTAAGTACCTATATATATTGTTTGGAATATGTTATTTATATATATTTAACATTTCACATGAATTGCTTTTGTTTTGAAAAATTATACACATTTATATTATATAAATAATATTTCAAAATTTTTTGCAACATATAATATATTGAATCTAAGAAATCATCCATATTCTTGTTTTCTAATAATTTAAGCTCTGTGCGAATATGCGAAGATTCTTGATATACAGTACATCAAAATTTTGAAGTATTATTGGATCCTTGCATTGTGAGACTGTCTGATCATATGTATCATCAGAATTTACCAAAGATTATGAAACGTCTTTCGTAGAAAGTGCATTTTGTCAATTAGTGACAGCTTAATGACACTCCATGTTCTTATCTTGCATGCTCTGTTCCTTGATTAATGAGATATCGTGTTGCAATTTGGTAATAATGATCGACTTTTCTTTGTCCTTCTGTTCTAATTTTACAAAACTGGCCTCAATTTCTTCTTTATCTTGTTTCAAATTTGTATTCTCGGCCTTGACCTCAGCGTTCTCCTTTCTAAGCTCAGCAATCATGGCAATGAGTTGAGAATTTAATTCTTGCAACGAATCGATTTTTGATTGAGTGTTTGACATTGTTTATACAAGATGCGGGTATGTTCAAAAGTTTATTAACACAAAAGGTGTTTCGATTATAACATGACTTTTTTAATTACGTAATACGTATTGCGCAAAATGATGTGATGATAAAAATAATAAGTTTTATTAATCTGACCAATATATATTATGTGCTCATAAAATTAATAAAATAGTCCATAGCTATCCCAAGTTACCAAAATTTTCCTTAGTAAAAGATAAGTAAGTGTGTCCCACATAGGCTATCCTATGATTTGTTCAATGTTGACTTTCAGATTGGGTCGAAATTTTTAGTGAAATATTATAACACTTTTCTTGATCACAACGAATCATGTGGATACAAATTTCATTGGGACAACGGAAACGTATACATTGTTGATATGACCTATCCAGTTCATGAAGCTGTTGTCTCACTGCTTCAAGACTATTTCAAAGTTCCCAATGGAGGTGTAATCATTGATCCACCAATAGATGTTGAAGGCCAACCATGTAAGAAAATTCTCTCCATTTCAGTTTGATCTTTGTATCGTAATAATATTTCACGTTTTTCCTATAGATCATTATGATCCAACCGTTGTCGGAAAAAAAAATCTCACCAGATATTGTAATCTACCCAGATGTGGCATATGTTCCAAGTTCTATTTCTCAGCATCCTGGTCCTCCCCCCGTGACGTAGGGGTGCATTGAATTGTATAAATTATCATAATATAATATAATTTTTTCAAGATAACAATCAAGTCAAATTGATTGACCCTGGTTAGCCGCGTCTCCCAACCTGTCACGGATTTTAGACATACGTAAATAATACGCATGACGTAATGTCATATTTGTATTGGGATCATATAAATCGGGGTATCACGTTATTTGAACTTTTGTAAAGTATTACCTATGTAAAAAGCTTAATTTCTCCTAGATGGGATTGAAGTTTCTATTACTAAGAATTTAGACCCGGGGAAAGGTACAAACGCGTTAGTTAAGTACTGTACGATTGGATTTATTATTTTACTAAAAATATCTATTAAGTGGGCGTGATAGAGTACTTCGAGTCGAGCCAGCACTAGACCCATTAGACATAGTCAATCTTCGAATTTGTTATGTCCTGATTGAGATTGAAATTGGATGGAATTCAAGAGAATCTGTTAGATGATATGATGCGGGTAGGAGTTAGTCGTAAGAAACCCACGTGCCATTTCATTTCATTTAACTTTAGTGTCCAAATAGGTTGGATGGGTCATATTGCGGGTTATAATATTAATATTTAAGTTATGAAATTTGATCACACGTCAACTTTGTGCTATCTGAAGTTATTTAGATGCGATTTGATCTGGTTTGTCTTGGATACTTGGTAACTTTCTCTCTGACAAAAATTTTCCAGAAATATCTATTCTTCTTCTGCTGAAATCACAAGCACAGATTTCTCTATCTGTCGCACTAACGAAGTTACAAGTACTGTATATTGGACGTTCGAATAATACGATGAGAGTTTATTATTTAAGGGCTTGAATGATTGTGAGAATATGATGGTCTCCTTTCATGGATACTAATACGGCACCCATTTTTCATGTTCTCTCGCTTCCTAATTATCTTCAATATTTTTGATCTTTCTAACCCATAATTTTCCCACCCTGATTTCGTTCATCGGCGCATTTGAATTACGTAACGCGATACAGTATTGTATTGCCCACTTTCTCCACAACATCAGTTGCATGAGATTATCTAGACATTGCCGCCATATACTCGTACATAGAAATTTTAACGTGTAAATACTAATTAAATGTGGTTAATTAGTAAGATTCAAGTAATTTTGTGATTTTTAATATCTTACTAATATACTTTACTCAATAAGTATCAATGAAATATGGTTACCAGCTGTAATCGTTATTGGAAGCCAAAGGTATTCCTTTAAAGATCGTAAAAGTTTTATGATTTCACTACTATTTCTAGAAGAGAAACAGAAAAAAAAATTTGATATTATTATTGATCCATTGCAAGTGAATTGCTTCTGCTGTGTGTTCATCATAAGGTTGACATATTTTCAATTATTCAACATGGCAGTATAAAGACCATAAACAGTATTACACAGAAATAAGAAGTAATTGTTGAATATTGCTTTGAAGTAGTAGTTAAAAAGGATTAGTAAAAAAGAGCTAGTTGATTTAATTTATAGATAAAAATGTGTATTTGAAGTTATTGTTTAAATAAATGAATGAATATTTTATATTATTTTATTAAAAATTAGTGTGATATTGGTTAATAGATTTTATTGTATATATTTTATTGTATAAATTTTAGAAAGAAATATAATTATTTTAACTAGTTGACACAAAAGCTATACAATTTTTATATTATCTAAATTCATCCTATCAATCTTGGTCTAATTATCAAAATTGTCAATGTTTCCACTGTCATTATCTGCCCAATTTCGCCTATTCATCTTCATCGGAAGACTCCACATAATCATCGTCATCATCCGAATCCACGGGAATCACACCAACACCCATTCTTCCCAGCATATTTCCTACAGGCCCCGGCAATCCTTCTTGTGATTTAAAACTTTCCAAAATATTCTTTGCCAAGTTTAAATTAATGTCAACAGGTTTATTCAACTCTTCGTCGCTATCATTATTCTCATCATTTTTCACGTTTAGATTATCTCCAAGATCCGTTTCACTGTCTCCAAGTATTTGACCTGGTGAGCGAACGAATGATTCATATACTTTCGATGACGATAGTTCAGCATCTAGAGCTTGGAAATATGTTTCCATGTCGTCATCGGCTAGCTCTGTGATTTTGGCACTTTGTGATGCTCCGGTGGTGGTGTACTGTGACTGATCTATGCGATAATGGTTGAGGTTAACACCGCTGTTTCATGTAGAGTACATTGTGAACCCACATAACTTTTCGAACAAGATAAAATAAATCCCTTTAATGCTTACCTTTTGCGTATTGTTCCAGTTCATCTTGTTGTAACTTTATCTTTGCATTTGCCAATTCTCTATATTCCTCATCCGTAATCCCTAGGTGGACAATTTTGTAATTAATAAACTTAGAATAGGGGCAGCACTGTAATAAAAAACCACGTGTCATACACACCCAACGTTTGCCGCATTATTCTTAGGAACTCGGTGGGCTCAAATTGAATTTGATCATTTCCATTAATACCGAAATCTTCAAAATCTTCATCAGAGTCATGTTCGCTAATCAATAGATTCGTTTACTTTGATTCTTCAATCATCGCTTATACGATCAAGACAATAAAAATGGCAACTTACTCGTTAAACTCGGCACCTTCGATACCCGCAACTTCATCGTCCATAAAACTCTCCAGTTTATCGATCATGTTTGTTAAATCAAATACATTTAATTCGTCGTCTGACTTCAAATGTACTAAGTAATTAATGAAAAATATCTTCTAGCGATAGAAAGTAATCAATGACCACATCATCCTACATTGCCTTCTTTTGGTTGTTCATAATCCATATACCCCATATGACCTTTTGTTGCTTCAAGCAAGTCCTCCAACTGTTTTGGATCAACGTTCAACCACGAATCGTCATCCTGTATCTTGTCCGCTGTCAGTAATTCATCTGAGACTAATGGTCTACTCAGTATTTCGTTAATTTGTTCTACTGGAGAAGAAGAGATTTTTATTTCATCGTAGCTATGTCCAAAAAAAACGAAATCAAGAAATTTTTATGAATATAATAGCAAAGATTTCTCTCCCATAAATAAACCAACCAACAAACAAATAAAATGAATAAGTAAATAAATAATTAATTAATTACTTTGACGTTGAAATCGGTTGGCTTTTATTTTGCAAGAATTGTTTCTTAGCAACATCGTCCAACTGTTTGTACAATTTAGATCCCGGTATTTCACCGCGATAATAACTACGCGATAATAGATTGGCGTGAAACGCTCGCCACGATGAGTCCAAATCAAAAGGGTATTTCTATGATCGTGAGATACTTGATAAGCAAGCATCGGGATAACGGACGAAAGGTTGATCACGAATAGTCCTACCTCAGTGTCCAAATCGTCGGATTTGGTTTGCGATTCGGCGAAATACTTATCTGTGCACAGTATCTCGAACCCACATGCCTAAAATATGAAGGTATATATAAATATAAACTACAAATCATGCCGGTACGCATAAAAGATCTTACCAATTTCATTCCTAGTTCAGCGGCTTGATACTCATTGGAAGCCTTGTGAGGAAGTTTGAAAGGTTTTGGCGGCTGGAACCTTTGGCCTACCATCTGAGCATATAACACTTTTGTAAATT